TTTATGACTTTTACTTAAGTAATTTTCTCATCAGTGAAATGTTTTTTTTTTTCTACCAAAGTCATTTTATGTTAAGGTATTTTCACTTTTTTCCATGTTTCCAAGTACTTTATAGACCTGTGAACATTTGGCATCTAAGTCCATCAAAAGAAATTTTATTTGTTTTACCTTGGAGGAACATAGACTTTGCTGTGAACTCATCAAAAAGAAAACCAGCCAAATGACACGTTTTCATTACCTCCTTAGGAGCCTCGCTTTTAATGAACTCCTCGTAGATGTGGTTGGCCTTGGACACCAGATCTCTGTGTGACGTGAGCGCCTTGAAGTCTTCGCACGCCGTCCAAAACTCCACGTTCTCCTCGCAGAACTCGGATTTCAAAAAGATGCGAAAGGCGGCTTTTCCGTCTGCGGGCGAAAGAAACGCAGGGAGAGAGGCGTGTGAGACGGGGCCGGTGTCGGTCACGGACCGTTCGCCCGTTAACGGAAGGCACAGCGAGTGCAAAGCCATTACAGGCAAAGCTTTATTGAGGCCAATAAACTGATTTTATTCAGCTCCTCCAGTTACAGTTTGACCTTTGACTTTTTTTATGTAACGGGGCTTCTGCAGACAGATGAGTTATACTTACATTTATGACTGAGCAGTTTGTCAAGCGACTGTGCCCATTGGTTCACGTCATCAACGCTTGGCCTGAGGGTGAGGAACAGAAATCTCATAAGAGATAATTCCACCTGCCACAACCACACATTGTCAAAAAGACATTAAATWAAAGCATTTTAGTTTAACGCAAAGTATGCCCTTTAAAGGAATTAGAGTATTGCTTGCACATTGAAGAAAACTATGTTACAAAAAAGATTTGCTACATAAGTTTTACAGTAAGCAGAACTTTACCTGTAGGATCTGGTTTTCATGGGATGCAGTATTGACTGGGAAGTGTTTGACTTCAGCAGAAATCCTATTCGGTTTCTCCAGTTTTTCCTCCTGTAACAAAAGAGACAGTTGACCCTTTAGTGTTTTTATGAAAGTAGACCGTTCTGCAGGTTTGTCGTGATCACGAACACCACGGCCAAAGGCTGCGTTTACTTACTTTATGTCCTTTTTCCCAGCAGACAAGTCAGCAGGTTTCATGCATTCGGTAAAAGCCATGTTCAGAGTTGAARCACTGGCGAGGTTCTCTTTCATGGTTCCCTCTCGTCTCTTTCTCCCTCTTTGGCTTGTCAGCCTGCTTTATATTTCCTCCATCCAGGAACAGTGGCATGTTGAGAAGGGGGCGTGGCCCTGGAGTGCCAGATCTTTGACGTGATTGGCTTCTGGCTTGCCCCTGGTGTGACGCTTAAGGCTATCGCTTACATAAACATTTCCACCCCRAGGGCTTCCCAAATTAGGATCAGGGTCAGCATGTGACAAACTCATAATGCTGTTGTAAAGTTTAAACAAAAACTTTCATGTTAGCTGTATTTTTCTCTCTTTTTTAAAGAGTTGAGTCAAAACAAAAAGAAAGGAGGTCTGCAGCATGTTTGGTCGTGAAAGTGGACTTCTTGTCAGAACTTGTTGTCCCTCTTTTTTTTTTCTTTCCAAAAACTGGTTTATGTTTTTATTTGAAACACTAGCTGCAGTATTTGTACTCATACAAGGTGTGGATCAGGGAAAATATGCTGACGCCTGTTATGATGGTATGTTGCAATAGGACAGGTTGGTACAGTGTGTGATGATGTCATATCCTCTCACCTTTTAAAGTAGAAGTCAGATGAGCTCAGCAGAAGGAGATGTTTTACATTCATTTCATATTAGTTATTAAACCGGTTTAAAGCGGTTTTATTCCAATGTTTTAATAAGAAGCTAAATATTTCACTTAAAATGTGGTCACACCGATGAGGCACCGCAGTTAAGACTATATTAGGGAATTGTTATGTAACTAGATTTAACTGATAAAGGTTCGGCCTTGTCAGAATAAAGCTTCAGGAGAATCTGTGCAATATGAGCTGGTGCTCAGGAAACTGATCCTCCCTCAATAAACATCAACTCAAGAACTTAAAGGGATCCATGATTAGTTGTAACATTAGACTTTATTTGATAAACATATATTTTAACTGTAAAATAAAGACTGTAAAAATACTGTAGGCTGTTCAGTTTTGTAAATTTTTACAAATAAATTTTAACACGGATGGAGCCATTTTATTTACACACAAAGCAATGATGACGTTGAAGGTTAATCTTGGACAATATCTGATGATCGACTCTTTTAAATGAAACCAGAGAGCGTTGACAGAGAGGAGAAGG